CCATGGTACAATCCCGTCCCTTTTATCCATTCTTTGTGTGGATTCACGGGATCAAAAGAAGTGTGTTTTAGACACTTCCTACTGAGCTTATGCTCACCCTATTATTTTTTTAACATTTTTCAGGACATAGAAAAGAGGTGGCGGACGACGATCCACCACAATTTTAGACGAGTTTGAAGACTCATTTTATTTTGTTATCTTTTGTATTAAACTCTAGTATTTTGTAAATGTAATCTTAACTATTTTGAAAAACTTTAGTTTAATTAGTATAATGTTGTAAGTTATGGACTTTAAAACTTTAGCTACATTTATGGTCTGTAACTTGTTGTAACAGGACTGTTCCTTGTTTGGATGAGATGGAGGAAGGGAATTTTTGATATGTATGTAATTATTTTGGGAATATGATGTAATACTTGTATTGTGTGTTAGGACAGGACGGGTTATTTTTAGGGCCTAGTGAGGCCATTGTATTTTTTTTTTTTTTGGTATTTCAATAGGTTGTAGAGGGACTTTTTCTGTGGAGGTCATGCCGAAATTTTATCTATTTTAATATTATTCTTTTGGTATCTAGTTTGGTCGTTAAAAAATATGCACTTTTCAGCGCTCATCATTGCACAAAATGGGTACAGTACTAAAATAGCAGCAATTGAATGGAATTTATTGGGTATAATATTAGTTGATGCTGGTGGTAGGCCTGCAACTCGGGCGGGCTTAGCACTCATTTCGGGTTAGGTTTATATAAAAAATCTTCAGCCCAGGCTCAAGTCGAGCTGCCCAAGCCCAGCTCATACGTAATATGTCCAGCCCGAGCCCGCACTAAGCCCACCTCAGAAAAATTTGTGTGTAAAAAATAAATCAATTAATGTTGCACCCATGACTTGAACCTAGAACTTTAAGCATAAATTTCAAGCACATTACCAATTTATCTACTACATTCTTGTAACTTAAGTATATATATATATATATATATATATATATATATATATATATATGGGCTCGGGTTGGGCTTCGAGCTTCATCCATATCAACCCAATTAAGCCCAACCCGAATCGATTTCGGGCTCAAAATATATAGCCTAGGCCCAAACCAAAATTAGAAAAACATTGCCCAAGTTCACAAAATTTCGGGCAGGGCTCGGGTTATTTCGGGTTAGGCCCGCCCGAGTTGTAGCCCTAGTTGGTGGCAATGGAGAAGAGAGAGAAATAGTGGGAAAACAGGCAAAAAAAAAAAAAAATTTATTGGGTAAATATTAGTGGCCGAAATGGTCATTTTCTATTTTTAGATAATTTTTTTTAACATTATAATAATAAGGGTAAATAAATAAATTTACTACAAAATGTAAGATAGGGTCTTTTAAAAAAAAAATAAAAATAACAAACCTCAGGTTTAGTTGCGATTAAGCCAAACATCAAGGGGAGGTCATTGTAGTTTACTCTTTTTTTTTTTTTTTTTATTACCTGGTGGATTTTTTCAAATAATAAATGTTTTACCCCAAAGGTAGCACAAGGGGTTAAATGCCAAAAAAAAAAAAATTGCAAATACATGGGAGGCTTCCAAATACAAATCACTAATTTTGCAATCTCAACCAAATAACAGAACACCAGTTCATAATTGAATCATTTCAATAAAAAATGAACAAGGGCTTTGAGGTCATACGACTCATACATGGTGAAATGTGACTATGTTGCTTATAGGAGTAGCACATGATGAAGCCATTGACCACACGGAGGCACCGAGATGATTGCTGGAGTAATAGAATTATATGATTCGCCTTTTAACTACTCAATTATATACAAAATATATAATAAAAAATTATATTATATATGATATATATTTTTAATTATATATGTATATATGTTAGATTAAATTATAAAAAAATCTAAAGTGAAGTCGAATCGAATCAAACTATTTTTTCACGATTTAGTATGGTTTGGTTTGGTTCGTTTCCAACGATTTCATAGTTTGGTTCGGTTCTAATTTTTATGGAACCGTTGGCTCCAAAATATTTCCAAATCGTCCAATCCGAACAGTGTGCATTCCTATATAGTAGTAAGTAAACTCGAAATTAAAAAATAAAAAAATAAAAATAAAAATAAAAATCGAGAATGGGCAGAACAGTAAGGTCTTTATAGACCCTTGGTGTGAAGGTCAGTTCTTGGGTGATTTATTTAGTCACAGGCTTTTGAGATATCTCAGCAGCAATAAGATGAGTTGCTTAAGTGAGTTCATTGTTAATAACCAATGGGATGATGAGAGATTGCTGAATACAAATCAGGAAGTTATGCAGGTGTTCCACAATTAGAAAATACATGGTGGGGAAGATACTTTGAAATGGAAAGATAATTTCAGTTTTAAATCGGCTTGGGAGGCATGTAGAACTAAATTTCAGGTGGTTAGTTGGTATAAGTTGTGCTGGAGTGGAGGAAGACCGAGATGGTCAATTAACTCAATTCTGGTAATGCAGAATGCTGTACTTACTCAGTCCTATATGAAGAAGAAAGGTTTCTCTCTAGCTTCAAGATGTTATTTGTGTTTGTGCTGTGAAGAAACTCTTGATCACCTGTTTTGCAGCTGTGAGTTTACATGGAAGGTGTGGTTTACTCTATCATATGTTTGTGACGGGAAATTGCAAAGATGCTATGAAGTCAATGAGCTTGCTTTGATGTTTAAACAAAAATTCCAAGGAAAGGGAAAAAATAAGATGGCAAGAATTTTGTTCACTGCTACACTTTATTTCATTTGAATGGAAAGGAATGACAGGTTACATAATGATAAATTCAAAGAGTCCAAAGAGCTAGCAAAGAGTATTTTGTTTGAGGTTTTAGATGTCATGGGGGTATGCCTTTAGGACATTCTTTAACTTTATTTATTTTTCTTTTTCGGAGTTTGTTATGTTTTTCCCTTGTAGGGAGTGCAATTTTTCCACTGTTTTTCGATGAGGGTATGCCCTCATTTCTTCATGTATCATATTGTTTATATTTTTATAAAATCCTTCATTCAGGAAAAAAAACTAAACTCGAAATTAAGCAAATCAGATTTAGATATATGATGTTAACCATAAACACTCCTCTTGTTTAGCTTCCCCTAACTAATAAACTTGAGATTAAGTGAATCAAATTTAGATATATGATGCTACCCACAAAAGCTCCTCTTGTTTAGCCCCCCTATCAAAAGTACAAGCAAACGTACACAAAATCACAATAGTCTCAAACATGATTTGAACACTCAACTTCTCATTTGCAGAGTAAAAATCATACCATCTAAATTAATGTCCATTATTTTTCTGGGAAGAAATATACCCCCCCACACACACCTATATTGGAAACTTGGATCCTCCACCTTTTGGTACTTTGGCTACAGCCTTTTATGCTAATCTCTATTGTTTAAAAGGGAGAAAGTTTGCCAGTTTGTTTTGTTAATTTTCTTTGGAACAAGTATCTCTTTTCTTTCGTTTTTGAGGTTTCTTTCAGTTTCTTAGTAAGAATGGGTGGTTGTCCGACTTAATGGGCTCATCAGACATATACTTTATGTGACATGGGCTGATTATGTGCTCATAAAATTATACAGTATAATAAGCTTCAAAACTATGGAGTAAACATGTATAAGCTTTATACAAGCTTAGTTTGTTTACCAAATGAGTCTAAAACACAAGTTTAGGTTCAACTAGTTTACTTAATGAATAGGTTGATTAATGTTGACAGGTAATTTGAAATATTGCCACCATACCTTCGAAACAATAACCTGAATCAACCCTGACAAACTTATACACCAACACCTCTTTCTTCTTCTTCATTTTTTATTTTTAAATATTTATTTATTTTAATGTAGCTTATGAAAATTTTAACTAGAAAAATAGGATTTGGAGCTCGTAGTGCAATTCAAATTAAACTCGAGTTAAGATCTTCCCACTAAGTCTAGTCCTAATTGCATAAATGACCCTTGAAACTCAAACTTAAATTGTTGCGTGTGCCATATGCGGAACACACACTAAAACACACTAATTCCATCCTCACCGAAGATTGGCGTGACGGAAGGCTTCATCTGGTTATTGTTTTTGATCAGCAAATACAACATCCTCTTCTTGTCATCATTCCTTCCGAAAACCATTTTTGTTTGCAAGAGCAACATAAGTTCATCAACCACCTCAAGGTTAGGAGAAGAATGGAATTGGAAGTGGTCTATCAGAAGATTTTGGTTGCGCCACCCATACCACACCATTGTTATGTTTTTGTTTTTAATTGGGAAGAAAAACTCGCACACTTACAATACTTACGATGTCCATGTAGAGACTTGAACCCTCAATCTTCTCCTTTGGAAGACCGAAAAATACCATTAGGTTACACACCTTTGGTACGTCATTGTTATGTTTACACAATAAAAACGCACCATAGCAATTTTTTGCGTAAAAATTATAACAAGCTAATATGATGCATTTTTATTGAGTGGGCGTGGCAATGACATGGTATGTCTGGTGCGACATTGCTGCTGCTGTGGCCACGGATGGAGACTACAAATTGAGTACACTTGTCCGTGACCACACTCTCAAGCTTATTACAGTGATGATCACATTGAAGAATTGTTTTGCCCAAATTGTTAAGACACTAGAGTTGGAACATTTGAGTGAACGGAACCTGCCTGCCTCTATATTTGAGTGATGCATCTCATGCTCGTCACCATATTCAAATCCAAGACGAGGATCAATTCAGTCGAGCTTCTAAAGTCATTCTGTTGCACGGCTAACCTTTTCAACCCTCACAATGCAACTTTTATATGTTCAAGGACCTTTTAAAAAACAAACGGCAAATAAAAGATGTCATTTTGAGAACTAAATTCGTTAGACTTGCCCAAACACCTATTTTATGAATCTTTTTGTGTCATATGTATAAATGAACATTCTATTTTATATTAGTATCCCTCCATGCAGCACCTAACAGAATTGCTACAACAGGTAATTGATTTTTCTTTTCTTTGGTCCAGTGAAAATTATATTGCTCTTGTGGTGCGTGCCTTTCCAATCATATTTCCTAATCAATTGAAAGAAATTAACTTTGAAGGTTTCTTTCAGGGTAATTTATTTACATTCAAGGAAAATTACAATTTGAAAAAGATAGACAGCACAACAATATTCTTATAACTTACATTGAAGTTTATTGGGAAAACGAGTAAATTCTGAATGGCAATGTTTCACCCTCCCCTGGGATCATCACAATGCGTAGATCTCTATGATTAGAAGAATCATGTGCAGATCTCTATACTTCTATCTCCTCCATTGCTAACCGAGAGCATTCTTCAAATTCGGACAGTGATGAATCGTGGGCTTGTTCTTCGATAACAAGCGAATTCCATTCCAGATGCTAACTAATTGAGGCAAATAAAGAAGTGATAAGTCTCTCAAACTAGGAAGTATGACAAAATCATCATTTTCCGTTTTCTCCTCCGCTTCTATTATCTTCCGCAGTGATGCACAATCTTCGACCACCAACTCCTCCAAGTTAGAAAGGCATGGAAGCATGGACTTCTCAAGAATGAACTCCAGCTTAGGACAAGAGTGCACTGACAAAAATTTCAACCCATTGAAATATCCAGGGGGCAGTGCACGCTTGGAAATGCTCTTCAAATTCCACAAATAATGAATGCTCAAGTGTTCAAGGTTTTGTAATGCACTTTCACTATTTTCCTCACAGTCTATTACAGCAAGAATATTGGGACACTCGCTCAGTATACAAAATTTCAACTCCTCCATATTAGTAATCCCAAATTCTGATAGACTTCGGATCGTGCGATGGTGATCTAGATAAAATGCCGTGGCACGCCCAAGTACTTCCAAAACTGCTTTACGTTTGTCCTCACTGTTCACAAATCTCAAGCATCGATCGTGTTGATCAAAATCGAACTCTATATCATCAGGGACTCGGGAACTGATGCGTTTGATGTTCTGGCCAACAATAAACTTGAACTTGCTCAAGGATTTATTTATCCATGGCTGACTTTTTTCGATAAATTTGTTGAGAACATCTTTGTCTGAGGAGGGTTCCGAGTGAAATACATTTGGAAAGTAGAGCTGAAGACTGGTCAATTCATTCAAGCTGCCCACATCAAATGCTATATGATCTGCACTCATATTCCACCGCTGATCCCCTCGATGAACAACAATGTGTAGTTCTTGCAGTTTGAGGAGCTTTGATATAGTTTCACGGGAAACCAAATAACGCGGCAGATTAGCATACTCCCTTGGGTCAATAGCTTCGTAGAAGGAGACCTGCAGGTGCCTGAGAGATCCCAGTTTGCCAACCTCATCAGGAAGGTGGTAAAGCTCAGTGCCTTTGAGATCAAGGACCTCAAGAGCTCCAACATTTCCAATCTCGGGTGGGAGCTCATCTAAGCAATTACAGTGGCGTAAAATAAGATCATGAAGTTTAGTAAGTCCACATAGAGAAGGTGGCAAAGACCTAATTCCTGTTTTTGATAGGTTTAAAACTCGGAGGACAGCCATACGACTGAAGAATGTGTCAGTTATTGATCTCAAAATCGTGTTATTTTGGAGGAGCAACGTCAAAAGATCGTGACAATCTGGTTCCTCGTGTAGCCTGGAGAAGTCATTATTCATCAAGAAGATCATCTTCTTTCCTTCCCATAACTCCTTAGGCGGTGGCTCAGTTAGTCCTGCACCAGCTGCTGACAAGATAACATCTTTTGTGATACTTCCTTGGTATGGTTCTTCTTTTGATGTCATTATCCATAACCCCAGATCTTTAACCACACCACGCATACTTATAGACAGCCCACCATCGTTACTGACCAATAGTAAAGAGTCAATAAGACTCTTAATTATATCTTGTCCCTTCTTGCGTGCTTTGGATGAAGTTCCATGAATTAAGTCTTCCTCAATAAATTTATCTATCAAATCATCAACCTTAATCTCATGATCCTTCTCAATCATTAATGCACAATGCAAGAAGCATCTCTTTATATCACAATCCTTCAATCTGTCGTAGCTTAAAACCAAACGTTTGATTTCAGCTTCATGTGTCGTGCGTTTGCTAAGAGTTCCCTCGCAAAAATCAGAAGCCACGTGAGTTTCTCTTTCAGCTTCGGAAGGACTAATCTCAACTTCTTCTACTTCATGAATGGATTGCAACCCTTCAGTTTTTCCTTCAGATGCATAATTCTCAAAACCCATTTTTTTAACAGGTAAAATCTCCGCTTCAGTTTCAGTTGTCATTGCAGATGTTGGATCTGGCAATGAACCAGATTCTGTTACAGGAAATGGTATTGCCTCCGGTTCGGCTTCATTTTGAACTGATGGACAAGGTTCCGTCTCTTTGTAACCAGCAGCATCAATTCTCTTTCCTTCATTTCTCTGTAGATGTTGCACCCCAGATTCTTTAATTTCTATTTCAGATTTCATTTCTTTGACTACTGCAACAGGTGGATGTTCAAATGTTGGATATGAAAATGAAGAGTTCCACAAATCAACTTCTGTATCTGATTTGGATTTCACATTATCTTTGAGTACTGACGTCGAGTCATCACTACATGAAGCATTTATGATCTCAGATTTTTCGTCTTCAATAAATGAAGTGTCTATGATCTCGGATTTTTCACTGCGTTGTTTTTTTGTTGTGCGTGCACCTTTCCTACTCTCTTCACCATTCTTTTGTCGATCGGGCAATATCTGTACTCGATATTTAGTGGAATGCCTAATTTCTATCACCGGAGCACTTAGTGGTCCTTCGTAGACCAGTCCATGCTTAAATGGGGATTTCTTCAAGTGATCAATAACTTTGCCTTGCATATTCGTCAGCTGCTCAACTTTAAGGGAAGAACTCTTGGTGTTGTGTTCAGATTGTATGCCATTCAGTTGAAATTCAATATCCTTTGCCTCCTCAACCCAATTGTGCAATTTTCTTGGTGGCATTTTCCCTTGCAAAAGTGCTTTGTTTATCTCTTTGCTTACGGAATCTATCACATTCAGCAAATGTTCTCTTTTTACTTCTAATGTCTTTTTAAGGGGTTTGTCATGTCGACTCTGACGAGTTGGACAAAGCACTTTAGTGAAGTCAGGCACTATATGTGCCAACACTTCCATACCTGCAAAAGTTAGAGACAGAATGAAAAAATTATTAAAATGGCCATACATCAGATGATTATAATTCATATTTGATAAACAAAGCATTTACATATCCATAAATTTGTATCATTGTCCCAAACAATTAAATGTCTGAAAGTGGTTTAGTTAATTGTAAACTAATTTATAAAGATTTTGAAAAAGGGAGGCAATATTGCCCTTCCCCTTTACAATATTATTCTTATTAATGAATATATTGAGCAAATTACAATGATAAAATTAATAGCCTAAAAAGTTAGTAATAAATGAAATGAACTATATATATATAGAGTGAGAGAGAGAGAGAGAGAGAGGGAGAGAGAGAAGATGAAATGATAAGTTACATATAAAAGAAAAAGTTGTGAAGAAAAAACATTGTTCAAGATTATATTTTATTCAACAACAGTTTTAATTTGGGAAAGTAATACATATTTTTTTTATTACTTTGATTTCCCTTTGGAAAAATATGTCATTGTAACTTAGTGAAATATTAAGAGAAAAATATAGCATTTTAACTAAAACAAAACACACTTAGCATGAACAATTTACAGAAATGCTAAGAAAAATATATAATATTTAAAATAAACAAAACAAAATTAGCAAGAATTAAATATAGAAATGTGAAGAGAAAATATAATATTTTAGCTAAATAAAATAGAATTAGCTAGCAGAACAAAATATAGAAGTGTTTTAATAACCAACGAACTAGTGGCCTAGCGGTATAAGGGAGATTAGGGGTTCAAGCCTTCGTGAAGGCATGTGTGTGTGAGTACCAATTAAAAAAAAAAAAAAAGTGTTTTAATGACTTGTACAAGAAATAGCTATAAAATATGTCATCAAACAAGTGACAACTAAAAATATTAGCATATATAATATCATACTTTCATTTTTACTATTCCGTATGAAAACAACTAACGAGGAAGGTTCATGTATTTTTATTAAATATTATGAGGAGACATTAATAAATTTTTTCTTCTAACTCTTGAATTCATATAATGAATATTATAGTTGTGTATATGTAAGTGTAAATGTAAATAAAACAACAATATAGTAGTAAAAACTTAAAACAATGAATTTATTTTTTCGTTGGACAAGATTTGAGCTTAAATTAAAATTTTGTATGAGTTTTGAGATGACATTCATAATTATTGGGGCAAATAAATAAGTGCTTTGGATTTTTTTATTTTATTGCCCGGGGGGGGGCGGGGGGGGGGGGGGGGGGGGGGGGGGTTGGGGGTGGAGCAAAAATAAATTTCAAATATTCACCTTCTTTATTTCCTCAAGTATTATTTTTTTCTTTTTATCACCAAGATCTTAAAAATTAAATATAATTAAGGCAAAAGTGCAAAAAAAAAAAAAAACCCTTGAAGTTTCACCAAATGAACACAATACCCTTTTGTGGCATAAAAGTGAACAAGTTAGTTGCTATAGTTTCAACAGTGAGCAAGTTAGTTCCTGTAGTTTCAAAAGTGAGCAACTTGACCCCCTGCATTTCACCTCTGACCACTTTTTTGTCCATATTGAGATGCATATGATTGATATTTTCTTATTAATCTCGAAAGTACCCTCCAATATGACCGTTATACCCCATCTTCCTATAAAAAGGCTTTGCATTCCTTTAAAAAATGTTTTCTTTTTCCCTTTCATTATTATTATTTTTATTTTTATTTTTGACTAAATCCACTATATCTGCAAGATACCTCTTCTTCCGGTGACAACACACCTTCTAGTGTGGCTCTTCATGCTGATGCTTCATCTGCACTTCAGCAAATATGACAGTGGCCTTGGCATTTGGGTGATCCTTCCATTAGTGCATTGAAGAAACTTTTTCTTCTTTTGGTTAAGCAGTGTAATACAGAGAATTTTGTTTCTGATGCTTCTAAGTTTGCAAAACATCAAAGGAACTTTTATCCTATTAGTAATATTAGAAGCACTACTCCTTTAATGATTGTTCATTCTGATGTATAGGAACCGTCCAGGATTGTTTCTCTTTCTGGATATCGATGGTTTGTTACCTTTATTGACTATTTTTCTTAGGTAACATAGGTATATCTATTACGTCATAAAAGTGAAGTATTTGCAGGTTTTAAAACATTTCACAAGATAGTATGTACTCAGTTTGATGCTAAAATCAAGATCATTCAAACCATCATTGGAATGAAGTGTACTAAGGGTGCTTTTTAAGCATATACCTAGCTGAGTATGGAATTGTTCATCAAACAAGTTGTATTGATACTCTAGCACAGAATGGTGTGGCCGAAAGGAAAAATCGTCATCTTCTTGAAGTATCTCACTCTTTACTATTTAGTATGCATCTTCCTAAGACTTTATGGGGTGATGCTATTCTCACTAATGCATACTTATTAACCGGATGCCCCCGCGAGCTCTTGATTTTCATAATCCTATTAAATTACTTCAAGGTCGCAGAGTCATTCATTCCATTACTCCACGAGTTTTTGGATGTGTCTTCTTTGTTCATGAGCATTGACGATCTAGAGGTGTGTTTATAGGATACTCGGCAACACAAAAGTAAAAAAAAAAATAATAATGGAGAAATTTCAACACTCCCCCTCAAGCTGGAGTGAAGATATCAATCAACCCCAGCTTGGTAATTGAGGAATGAAGTAAAGATGGACCAACAGATTTGGTGAACACATCGGCCGACTAATTAGAGGAACGAACAAAGCACGGCTTGATAATTCCCGAACGAACCTTCTCTCTGATAAAATGAATGTCCACCTCTATATGTTTAGTCCTCTCGTGAAGAACATAATCTGAAGCAAGCATGATGGCTAACTTATTATCACAAAACAAGTTTGAGGACTGTTTTTCACCTAGCCCTAGCTCCTCCAAGAAAGATCGAAGCCAAAGATTCTCACAAGTACCCTGAGCCATGGCACGATAGTCAGCCTCTACTGAAGATCTCGAAACTACTAGTTATTTTTTACTTTTCCAGGATATAAGATGGTCTCCATAGAATGTACAGAAGTCAGATGTGGAACGTCTGTCAATCTTGGACCCAGCATAATCTGCATCACTGAAACAGGATAGCCCAACCTGCTTGCTAGAAAAATAGAATAATCCAAGTCCATGACAGGACTTAAGATATTGAAGAATAAGATATACCATATCTATATGAGCTGTATGAGAAGCATGCATAAACTGGCTCACAACACTAACCGCAAAAACCAAATCAGGACGAGTGTTGGTAAGATAAATCAATCTTCCTACCAAGCGCTGATACTGTGAGGGATTATCTTTAGATTAGGATCCATAGGAGTGGAAGCAGGTTTACAACCAAGCATACCTGTGTCTTGAAGAAGATCCAAGACATACTTCCTTTGTGATAAAGAGATACCTTACTTAGATCTAGTAATCTCAATTCCCAAGAAATATTTGAGCTGCCCAATGTCTTTCCTATCAAAAGCTTTAGCCAATTAAAGCTTTACTTGAGCAATCCCAGGGATTTCATTGCCAGTAATGATGATATCATCAACATAGGCAAGCAAAATGATACATCGCCCGGTGGAAGAATGGTGGATAAAACAAGTATGTTCATAATGGCATCTAACAAACTCCATGGATAGAATTACATCACAGAAGCGGCTGAACCAAGCTTTGGGAGATTGTTTTAATCCATACAAAGACTTCCGCAATCAACAGACCTTTCCAACATACTCCCCCTCAGCCCGAAAAAAAGGTGGAGGATCCATGTAAATAGTCTCAAGAAGATCACCGTTAAGGAAAGCATTCTTCACATCAAGCTGATGAAGAGGCTAATTGTGAGAGGCAGCCAGGGAGATAAGCAAACGAACTGAGGTCAATTTAGCCACTGGAGCGAAGGTATCATTAAAGTCTTTACCAGGAATCTGAGTAAACCCTTTGGCCACCAAACGGACTTTATACCGATCAATAGAGCCATCAGCCAGATATTTAGCACTGAATACCCATTTGCAACCAACGGTCTTTTCACTAGGAGGGAGAGATACAAGCTCCATGTTTCATTATGCTGCAAAGCATCCATTTCTACCCTCATAGCAGACATCCAATTGGGATTTCGGAGAGCCTCAGACAACATTCTGGGAATGGAAATGGAATCAAGTTTGCTTAGAAAGGCTCAGTAAGACCCTGAAAGACCATCAAAAGATATATACTGCGAAATAGGATGATCAGTACTACAAGCGAATCCAAATCGAGTAGGGGGTTTGCAGTCCCGAGTGGGATACCGAGACTCGGGAACAGGAACAAGGTCAGGGCAATGTAAGGGAGAAAGAGATGTACCTAAACCTGAATTTGAGGAGGATGAAGGCAGTGGAGGCGAAGCACGAGGGCGGCATTAATAGACTTGTAAAGGGGGTGAGGAAACCACAAGAGAAGACTCTTCTTGAAAAATAAGAAGAGGACGAGTAAGAGGAGAAGCCTCTTAATCGAGAGTAGAAGTTTCCTGCAAGATAGTGTTAGAACCATAAAAAGGGGTATGCTCATGAAATGTGACATCAAAAGAGTGATACATGTGTTTGTGTACTGGATCATAACACCGGTAACCTTTTGACATGCAAAAGTATCCTAAAAAGATACATTTAATGCCTTGTCATCAAGTTTAGTACGAGAAGGGCTACGATTCTGAACAAAACATATACATCCAAACACCTGAGGCATGATGGAAAAAAAAGTAAGATCGGCCTGAAGCACTTGTAAGGGGGCCTTACCATTTAAGACTCTACTAAGGGTACGATTAATGAGAAAAGTAGCAGTAACAACTGCCATGTGCCAGTATGACTTTGGCACTTTCATACCACTTAAAAAGACATCGAACAACTGACATTAGTTGGCGGTATTTACGCTCTGCAACACGATTCTGTTCAGGGGTATATGGGAAAGTAAGCTGATGAAAAATACCCTGTTGGTTAAGTTGACACCGAAACTCATTGGAAACATATTCACGACCATTGTCAGACCTAATATTCCTAACAATAGTTTTATA